AATATTGTGCTGCCTATGACCGATTTGTTGAATGCATACAGATTTGCAAATCTTTCTCCATTTTTGTTTCTCTCTCCCAGTCTATGTCGTCCCATGATATCTTCATATCCGGTGTTGTCGATTCCGACTTGGGCATTTAGATCTCCCATCAGAATAGTGTGGTCCTTTCTTGGGCACTTCTCTATGATTAACTGCAGCCGCTCGTAGAATTGATCTTTAATATCCTCGTTGCTATCATTGGTGGGTGCATAACATTGGATAACATTCATTTTGATCCCTTCCTTCTTTATTTTGAATGATGCTTTGATGATTTTGGATCCGTGAGAATCCCATCCTACAAGTGCATTCCGTGCTACTTTGAACAGCATTAGAGCAACTCCCTGAGTGTGTGGGGCATTTTCCTCTTCGTAGCCGAGTATAGTAGCATTTCTCCTGTATTTAACCTTTGTTGTCCAGCTTGGATCTCAATGGGTTTCTCTGATTCTCAGTACTGCCAAGTTGTATCTCCTCATTTTCGTTGCTATTTGACTGGTCTTCTCAGTCTTTCACCATGAGGCGTCATAGTTCTTCTAAATGATGACCTTCTAAATCTCAGGGCAGAGTTTAAGTGGTTTGAACAATTTTTTCTGGTTAGCGTTTTTTAAAAAGTTGGTTTTCTACGAGATGGGGTTGTCAACCCCATGCCCAACCCACCTCTTTTACTCGTGCTTGAGACTGGCCGTAACTCTAGAAGAGCTACAGGCAGAGTTACCGTCGGTCTTAGGCCCGAGTAAATGAGGAGGGTTGGGTAGAGGGTTATCAAGCTCGTCCTGTAAAAAGGAACACTTCTAACATTTTTCCGTTGAGGATAGTTATGATAACTCAAAGCGAAGACCAAGATTCCTTGGAGTTCACCAAATACATAACCCATTTATCGGTAAGAATAACAACTCATATAGGTACATAAAATTTCCGAGTAGTGTGGAAGAAGGGAAAAACCATACAGGCAGCTACGAGAACGAAAAATTCCTTTATTTTGCTTTCTAGAATAAGTGAAACCCATTGTATACAAGCTGTACAGAAAGGACAGGTTTTGAAAGTGGTGGAACTGTATTACGATTGGGAAGAAGTAAATGCCCTACACATATGGAGCCATTGATGGTCTTGGAAAAAGCGTGAAGTGTTCGAAGGTGAAAAACCCGTGAATAATTGATCATCAAATCACTCTTCAGGACCAAGACAAAAGCAAATTACAGTCGATGTCAATTTGGGGCGGAACATTTTGTTTGGTTTGGGCTCTTTATGATTGAGGATGAGGCAATTAATCGGTGATACTGAAGTTGTTCTCCTACGTTTGCTACTCAGACTCATGTTTCCAATTTTATGTTGAATTCGCTATTCGACTAACTTAACCTGTGACATGCTAACCCAGACTTTTGAAACATACAATAAATTATATACTCATTAGCATTTCTTAACACTTTACTTACTTTTGGTGCATTTCCTATCCAAATAAATAGCCTTCATCATTCTAACTACGACTTCCCTTCCATCATTTGAACCCATTACACTTCATTACATATCGCAACTAATTGTTCTTTGTTACTCTATCCTTTTACATGAAGGCCATAACTGCATTATATTCGAGCAACAGCAGGTAGCATAAGTTTTGTCTCCTAGTTTATCAAACCTCTGTCTGTTACACTTCAAACCCTTAAGCATTGCTTGGGGTTTACATCAGTGCACAGCTATGGAGCTTCTCCCCCCTGAAACAAGCTTATCGTTTGCTTTCGTCAAGGTCACAGCTCACGACAAGCGCTCCTTAAATGTGCATTGTAACAACTACAAACTTAAAAGTTGTATCGTGGAAATACTTAGCACACTCAGAATTCTAACACAGTGCGACCGATTTCGGACCTGGTGTGCAACGTGGACACGATGCTGTTTTTGAAAAGGATTGTAAAAATTGCAATCATAGTGCAATACTAAAACCTAAACGCAGTCATTAGATCCCTGAGACATCTGCACGAATGTAGTGTTTTTTATTTTTGTTGATTCCATTTATTTTAACAACCCTACTCGGGAAACGTACTTTGTGCAAACAAACATTGTAAATTACAGATCATGCATGTAAACATATCATTCTATATATGACCGACGCGACCTTCGTACCAATGAAGGACGAGGAGATCACGTAGACCACTTTTCCTCGAGCAATACTAAGGAAAGCGACCGACCATTTTGATGCCGAAATGGAAAATATCTTGTACATAGACATCATGGGACCACATGGATTAGGGGAAAGAAACAATAATGATGTGAAGCTGGCAAGTTTACATTCTTTCAGAAATTAAGCTATAGATGACATCATCCTCCCCTTTCAAAAATCATAAAACTTTACGTGTTTCATGAGGCTACATCGTGATGAAGCAGATCAGTCACATCTGTATCGATAAACAACTTTAGGAGATTCGTGGAGGGAAAGGAGCAAATAAAGAAGCTAGTAAAGTTTCTCACTACTAAGTGATGGAAGAAAAGCTGAAGCCATGAAAGTATTGGACAACTGTACAAGTGGCACTACAAAGGTTTTATACAACTTCCGTTTGAGATGCTAACAAACCTATAGAATTCAAAACAGCTCTCTGCAATCATCTCTAAGCTTTCTTTATAACAGGGGGTGCCGTTCCATGAGAGGTATCATCATAAATAATGATTCTCTGTTGTTGCTCTTGGTAAAATTTTAAAAACGTGGACAATTAAATTCCCAGACCAAATATACAGAAGCGAAAAAAACATGTTCAAGAAAGGGAATATATATAAGGCCGGGCAGCTACATCGGAAAATGCGAGAAATAAACAATAGAGAAATGTGTCATATAACCAAGAAGCTAGGAGGGAAAGGTAGCAAGCAAGAGTGATAAGACGAAAACAACGAAAGGTGATTAATTACAGATGTTTAAATAAGGTGGAAAATCTGTGCACTCTGAAGGGCTATTACTTATACAAGTGTCACTGAACACAGCATCGAATGTGCACACAAACTCCTTAAAAAGAATACATATAATATACAATGGAAGAAAGTGGCAAGACCATCGGATAAATCAGGATTGTCAATGTAAAAAGACCAGACAACAAGTCAGATGAAACACTGAAGTTGGATACCAATGTACCTGTTAAAATGTATGGGGTTATTTTCCGACTGCCTTGCCAAAATACGGGAAGTACAGATCTAAGTAGGTGTGAGAACTACAGAGTCATTACACTGTTCTCTGTACTATCCAATTTTTCCCAACAATGTCATTCAACCAAATGAAAGATTTAGTGTACGCCAATACTCGCAATCGACAATGAGGTGTTCGTAAGCACAGATCAAATACCAACAAAATATTGGCACTGTAGTGAATTTTTGGCAATCTGTCGAACGCAGCTCATCACTAAACAACAGCTTTCTTGATTATATGAAGGCATTCAACTGTATAAATGGAAGAATCCTGTGGAATGTTCTTGAAACTACGGGGTAGCTTATAAGACCATCATCGTAAAGAAGTACCACACGGGACTGAGCTAAGAGTTCACGGCAGCTCGAGAACCTACTGTGCATATCAGTGCTTACACGCAAGGTTACCTACTCTTGCCTTTCCTGTTTCTTCTGGTAGTTGGATGTGCTAAGCGGACATTCATATATCAGGAAGAGCACTAAATATAGAGTAAACCTGAGACCCACCTGAACGATTTCCGCCACAGATTACCAAGCCCATCTATCTCATACATAATAGGATGTGCAGAACAGGACGGTTAGTGTGGCAGCAATTTCTGCGTAAACAGACATTACCGCTTTAAAGGGACAAACAAAATCCTAAAGTGCATCACGGCAACAGGCAGCGAAATTTCACACAGTGGATCGTTTAAACAACTTGTCGAGACCGTTAGTAAACAGTGACGTTCTGAAGTTATTGTTAAGTTATGGAATAACAAACGAAGTAAGACATTCCATTTAGAACTAAGAACTGTCACTTCAGAACGTAGTCACAATTCTCAATACAAACGTCGGACCAACTCACTTGCGCGGAACGGAAATCTACAGTAGTATCAGAATCATCACCAACAGGTACAAGTTGTCTGAGCAAACTATCCGAGATCCGTTGGCTAGAGACAATCAACAAAAACCTGGCGTAACGAATAACAAACCAACTCCTAGTTGGGAAGGAATTCCGAAAACAACGTTGGAGGTGGACAAAATATAATTTGCGAAAATCAGGAAATTACGTCACAGAGAAAGTCGACAACTCGAAGTTCTCAATGTAATGGGAAAAGTGGTAAACTAAGAAAAACATGCAATTGCCAGATGGAGGCATACATCAAAACTTGGAGACAACTAAAAAGAAGATCCCAAAGCAGAATCGTTTGAAGATTTCTGGCCTGTGGAGGCGGAATGAGCTTAGCTAAGTGCATAACTAGCCTCCATTTTCGTCCTACTTATCTGTCACTGGATTATTTTGTTTAGTAGCCTTTGGTTACCGATGTAGTTTGATTCTGTCGAATACAGGGTAATTTCCAACACAACACTCAATTTCGCTTTTTTTTCTCCAAAGTGCTTTGAAAATTTTCTGCAAGTAGAGAGATTTTCAAGTGGAGTTTCGCAATGATCTGATTACAGCTGACCCAAGTTACAAAATAGTTATTTACAATTATTTGTGTCAGAACCCTCAATATTCTTGTATTCGTGTTTTACTTTCTTCGCCCAGAAAATTTGCTCTTGCATTTGATCGTTTTCGTCCAGGGCCAACCACTTTTTACAAAAATAATTTGGCTCCCAGTTATGGCGACCTAAGTATTAATAGGGCATTTACATGAAGTGATCGAAGATCCACGTCCTCGTTTGGAAGTGCTTGTTGACTTTTTGTGAGACCTTTTCAGACCAAGGTTGTTAGGTAGTAGGTCATTCGAAAACAGACTGCTTATTTCATTTACATCCGGCTTATTAAACTTTTACATTTAATGAAACGACGCGGTTAATCATATGGCGCTCTTGTCAAGTGTCAAGGATGTTGTGAATTATCGTAGCTTTCTCGGATTATTCTTATGACATGTACTAGTGGTCCTGTGATATTTGTCATAAAACAAGATATTTTGTTCACTTATTATTAGAACACTCTCTATTCCTGTTATCGTTCCACATAAAACAGTTCTTGGTATCATTGTAAGTTCCCAGTCGATGTGTATTATGCCGAGAAAAAATAAACCATCCAGTTTATTTAAAAAATAAATCGCAAAACTGCTTTAATTTTTTCATTATTTTATCCTCCCTTTTTGATTACTTATCTGTGTGTTCCTTTGTCTTGTAAAGCGTAAATGCCGTTAGTAATAGGTTTCTTGTTGTAGGCTCATGTATTTGGTGTTACCGAGCTTTTTCATATCACAATTCGGCCATTTTTGTCTGCTATTAAATTGCGTACATCAGTGGTAAGCTGTAGATACCCTAGCAACCTTACTGACAATGTCGACATTGTCAAATTCATTACACTCCTTATCACGATGTCATAAATCAATAGCACCTACGAATATACAACTGAATAACAGTAAATCGCCCTACTGAGATATTATGGCTAAGCACTGACTAAAGGTAACGTTCATAAGTTAATTATAGACTAAATAACCGTCGTCGTGGTTAAATACCCACTTGTTGTTCTCGATATTACCCACATCGTGTTGACGGTAGCTTACGTCGAATTTCTTAAGAGGACGTTGACAAAATACCGAAAGCTATTAGACTCTACTTCAGAGAGGCCATATTCTAAAAAACATGAACGAAAAAGTGACATTCTATACAACTTTTCCCATTTATAAATTTAATCAAGGCGACATCAATTGTATCATTTCGTTGAAATCACGAGGTGATGTAGGTTAGACCACCATTAAAAGCCTAAAAGCACTGGATGTCCGTTTTGCTCTTTCACGGGACTCTTTGACAGTGGTCACCGACGATCCTGCACATGGCAATCGTACCCAGGACCTCCAGTCTCACAAACGCTTAACCTCTAGACCACTGAGTCGGCATTTAATGGTGTTGAGATGTAACTTCAGTCAACCCACGACATTGCGTCACCGTATTGCATTGTCTTCGGTACGTATCCATCTCATATCCGATGTGAATTAGCTCCACTAGTAACGGCTTTTCACTAGAACTCCGTAAATTCCTTCTCGAAGCTGGTCTCTAGTGAACATGTGGTAATTGTCAGTGAGTTGCGGAGGTTGTTTAAATCGCGAACCAATCTAAGTTGGACCATCACTGAAAGCCTGCAAGCACTGAACAGTCGTCTCGTAATGGTGTGGGACTCAACAGTGCGCATCCACAAGCACCATGTTAGTACGAAATGGCGGTCTAATCCTTCCAGACTGTCAATGGTGGTTTGACTTAGATCGGTTTATGATTTCAATGATAATAAAGCAATTTAGATTGGTGATACACTCCAATTTAGAGTAGACTTTTATCTTTTCGATTATCTTTCTAATTAACCTCTGTGGACTTGTAAATTAGCTACTTTTAATTATTCACAGTTGTGGAAACCGTTATTTGTGTGTAGTTTTACCTTGACAATCACAACATCTGTTCTCTGACTTTTCTGGCTTTACTCAAGTGTGTACAGTAGCAATTCTCGATATAATGCGACGGCTTTCTACTCTGAAGAATCAAGACTTCAAAATCAAGTGACTCGTAAGTAATAGAAAGCAAAGACGCAAGTTTCACCAATAGTTATTATTAGTTGGCTACCTCAGTACTACATATAAGCGTGTAGTTACAGTAGTATACTACCTCTACAACTGAGTTAATTTTGTAATTCTTCATTATAAGCAGTTGTGATATAAACATTCACAGATAACAATAACTCTACGTTTATGACATAATATATGTCGGGTTTATCATCCATAGCTATAGTTTGTCATGCGTATGACTCCGTATTCAATAATTTCTTGGAGCTGCGTAATTATATACAGTTGTGTTATTTCACTCACCACTTGGATTTACCATAAATGCTTTTGAAAGTGTAAATCGACCATCTTGGATTTTATTATGACTGCGTAGTCACCATCCTTTCAAAGTATGCATCTGTTTCTATGGCTCCAGAATACTTCAATATTGTTATTTCAGTGCAGTGGAGTAACGGATACCACAAGTCACGGGCGAGACGAAAAAAGGATTAATGTTGTTGTTATTTTTAAAGATAAGAATAGATACCTTTAGTATTAATTATTTGTTAACGTCAGGCTCAAATGAATGTATTGAGACCGTACAACGTGCTATTACTGAACTTATAAGTACAAAGCCTAAAAGGTATGAGTCAATGCATGTATTTCTTTTTCTGGTTTGATGTTTGTCCAAAGCATTATTCTGTACCGTTTTATTTCACAATTCTTGTTATTGTACAATACTCTTATTTGTATAGGACAGTTTCAAACACTTCCTTTCTATGTAAATGAACTTTGTTTGCCGGAATCAAAGCTCATTGGTAATGATAGTGAGGATTTAGCAGCTTCATTTCACGTAAGGTAAGCTTCTTCCTATACTTATTTCCTAAGCGTTATCTTTATATTTTAATTGGGATACTTAGGGCCTAAAATTCCGTAGATTTATTTCGTTCTCACTATTATTAAAGTATATAGAGTAAATTCTTATTCCCCGTTTGAAATAATAACCTCTGTATGCATCACTTTCAACCCATCTTACTTATTCCATTAACTTCCAACATTTATTTTCGAAAAGTATTTTACCAAAAAAATGGAGTAAGAGTGTATAAACTGACATTACTGCTTAGAAGTGATTACATTTTCACACGGTGATGTGGGAATTCATTGGTAGATATCAGGTTAAGTACGGTTGAATCTCAATGAATTTTTACGAAGCCTCAGGACCTAAAATTTTATTTTGTTAGATATGTAATACATAATATTATCGAGCTTTTTTTACTAGATCTTCATATGCCATCTCTCATACATGTATAAATTCGGTGTTCACCTTGTTGTGTTGTGTGACAATTTGGACCCATGCATATATGTGCCTGGTCCTAGCTGACTGACTCTCATACACTTACTTATGTCAATGATCAGTATGCTGTGAAACAGAATCAAGGAACAGATCACAGGTGTCATTTTTTGTAATCAATACCATTTTTGAATCGTTAATTACTTTTTCGTTACCGATGCAACCAATTCTTTTCCTAATTTTTACTGTATTAAAATGACGCACAACTGGTGGTTCCGTTTGTTCGATTCGATTCAGAAAGTAAAGCACCAGACAAAATGGAGAAGAATGTAATTGTGCTGCTTATATTGCTTCAAGTTATTTAGTTTCATCCACACTTTTAAAATACCAGAATACTATATCTAGTGTGGGATGCTGATATGTAATGACAGTGAAACAGATATTAACACCGAAAGTTTCGCATTTTAAAGTTTTTATGTTATTAATAAGAAAAACAAAATAAGCAGAATCTACAGGTTATGAAGTGTCATAATACTTACCACCCGAATCAGAGAATTACGATGTACCAACGGATGCTAGTTCAAATCACCTCTCAGTTCCTACAGGTTCATAAAATTAATGCGTTAGATAAATATATCAAACATGGTCACTTTATCAGCCTAGTGATAATAGTTCATCTAACTGGAGACTTATTTAATTTAAAGTATTTTTCAGCATACTTCATTTTGCACAACTTAGCAATCTCATTAGATCTCACAAAATGAATATGCCACACACTCGTGATCTAATATGATTGTGGAGCTTTGTCTTATGTTATTTTTCAAGATTCCCAAACTACTGAACAATGAGTATCTCTCATTCGTCATCACCCAATTTTGGGGAAAAGCCTCACTTCAAAATTACCGATCGACAGCAATCAACACCTGGTGTGGAATACCTACAGGGAAATAATAATTGTTTTGAAGAGGAAGAAGAATGGCAGTCGGTAAGGGTGTTCAGTAATCTTCTTTTCAGTGTTTTTTTCTTACCTCATCCTTTGCGTAATATGAAATTTTCGTCCTGAAATATTTAAAAATAGTAAGTGAGGACAATTGCTTTAGAAAGTTAAGGTTGTCTGCAGAAGGAAATACAGCCAAATAATTTCACTTGTTGACATTTCTTCAAAATCGACTTATACACCAAGATACTTGACGTTCACTTTAAGTTCATGGTTCACTACTAGCATCCTTAGTCTCAACAAGATTATTTTAAGTTGTAACTATATAATAACTTAGATCGTATAGCCTAATGTATACGACATAGATTTAGAATATCGTGTATATCTTTTTCAATTCTTTTCTCAATTCGTCATCAAAGTATGGGGTCTGGTTTCCCGTATGTCATTCAACATCTAGATACTTCAGCTTTAATCTTTCCCAGATATTTACATGACGACTGATGTATTCCTTTTAACAGTCATACTTTTTGTATTTTGAAACACTGTTCTGTGACATATGTCAGACATTTCACCATTGATAACTAGTCGATATCACAAATATACTTCGATATTTTTTCCTAATCACTTAGTTTCATTTTAGGTGAATCACATTTTGTAACTGAACAAGGTTGAGGTATTTTTTTCTCATGGTCGACCTCATCATTTCGTTATCAAAGCCAGTCAACTAAAGTTATTTGTCAGCTCCTTGTTATCCTAAGTGAATATGATCGTCAGATGTCATAGTTTTATGACGCCTTATGTTTTCATATAGTCACCAATATACTGTTAAGTTGATACTTGGCTTGATAATGAGCATACGCTCGGTCACGGTCAGTTAACTAAGTATACATTAGTGATGTAATTCAGCAATCAAGTAGAAATTTATGGAACATTCACTTATCAAAATATGTAACAGGGTTTGTGTTATAACTGTGACAATAATTGCTGCGGATTAAGGGTAGCGAATTATTGATCGGACCAAAGACGCACAAACACGTAGAACGACCTAGGGTTCTGATTGGTCTCGCTTCCCTGTCTAGCCCAGTCAGTTGAGTCCAGAACACAAGTCGCAGCCTTGGATATATGAATCATTATATTTCAAACATACTTTGTTTATATACCAGTCAAGCAGACCACAACGTACCATAAAATAGAAAATAACATTGTACAATAATGGCCAGTAGGAAAATGACACGTTAAATAAATATTGACCAATTAGATGATACCATTTCATGTCCAAGGATAGCATTAGGCTTAGCAGGATAATTTTTGGGATATTTTCCTGAATATCCCAACAGTTTGACAGTCTCTTATAAAATGGTAATCTAAACCTAAAATGATGATGGGCCAAGTAACTGTATTCATCAGGTAGCTCAACAGTAATTACGTAAATTGATTTCTTAAGAGAAACGCTGCTGCTAAACTTTTTAACTGCTGTTTGAAAACAGAATACTAACAGTAAACATTTTGCTCTTATCATCATTATCCATTACTTGCGTTATGCATGGTAGATATTTGTGTCTTTGAAAAGTATCTCTTATCATTCGGATATCTATTTAACTAAATGTTATAACTTCCGCTATACTGTCCAGATTTTTAATATTATAGATTTGGTTCTAATTGCCCAATCCCTTTTGTCATGAAATTTCTTAGGTTTAATAATTTTCTTAATTGATAGGATTTCTGGTCGACTGTAAGTCTTATAACCGATTATAAATCATATCAATAAACAAACATCGGATTTATTCGGTTTTTTTCCAATTATTTACTCTATGTTTACTTTTAGAAGTTGGATGTTTGGCGTGAAAAACGTCGTCAAGCCCTACTCACTGAGGCAACAAAATTTGCTTTACTTCAAGAGCGTGAGAGTAGGGAGAACGAAAGACGTAAGGAAGAAGTAAAAGATCGCCTTCGTAAAGCCAAGTAGGTGAAATGTGTAGTTGTTCAACGTTTCCTTAAAATATTTTCTTATCCAAACGATTGAACATAATAGGGCATTAAATAGTTCATGGAAATATCTGTACCAAGACTGATCTCCGGCGGCCTGTTTGATCATCTGGGCTACCTGTTCCTGCCATCTAGATATTTCAACAAATTATCTATTTTTGTTTGTTTTAATATATCACTAAGTTTATTAATCGCATAACCTATTCTGCTGCGTTTCTGAAAAGTGTACAACCTTTCGTTGTCAAAGTTACAAAAAACTCAACAGAAAATGTGGTTGCTGGCAATATACAACGAAAAGAATGCACATTAGTCAGATGTTCATTTACTGAACTGCTAACATCTAACTGGCGATCACTCAATATTTATCGCCAGGACCGACCAAGAAGAAAGAAACGGAAACTTGTTGAAATACTTTACGCTGAGAATTCTATATTGTACCGAAAATATAATATTGAATAAAGGTAATAATAATAACCCACCCTAGTGTTCTCATAAGCGTTTATTACAAGTTTATAGTTTACAAGGTTTCTCGGATACGGTAAAAAGAATAAATTAGCAACTTGTTATAGTTAAGAAGATATTTGAAAATAATGTAAAACTATGTGTTCATTCAAAGCTATAAGTTAGTAGAATACAGTTATTGATTTATAAGATTTGGAATTATAATCGTAGTTGAAAAACATATTAAGCCACGTTCTTTTGTCCAGTCAGTGTAATTGTCATCTGCCAAGGTTAGGTACCTCTATTCCTTTTGTATTCTTGGATTTTTTGTCACATGTGTATGTGAAGGACACTGTTTTTGTTAGGTTTCGCCTCATCATACGAATGATTTTAGACCAGGAGTATGCTTTAATAGAATATTCATTATCGATAGTATCATACCTCTTCAGATTTTTTCCTGTCTTTTTAATCATGTGGTCAATAATCCAGATCGTTTCACTTCAATTCTTCACACTACTGTAGTTATCAAATGTTGAATATGATATGCATTTAATAGTTGACGCCTTGCAACTGACTATTTTCATTATTTTTCTTGCAATCCTAGAAGCCAACGTAATCTAATTTCCAGTGGACATGTTTCTTCCTTAGATTTAGCTCCACCACCAAAAATAAATAGTCCTGGCGTCGCATTACTAACAGGTAGCGATTTTGATCCGCTCACTTTTGGTCATTTTGAAAAAAATCAAATAGATACAGTCTCACCATCACAATCGGTTTCTTCAAATAAATTTCAGTACACAGATAGTTCAGATCTTTATAAGTCAAATGACTCCGAGACTAATTTGAAGGCCTACTCCGATTGTTCTTCACCTGTGTCTGAACTGAAAACTGAAGTTCAGGTAAGTTTTTTAGGAGTCGGTTTTTTATTCCCTTTATGTTTTTTCCTCTCTAGGCGTTTTAATATGTGGTTGTTGTGAGCATTCATAAAGATTGGTCTCATAGTCCAACTGGGACAGCCCGTTGACATTCCAATCTGATATACATAAGATAGAAAATTAGTGACATATTTTCCCGTTAGGCCGTTTGAAGTCACAACAATTTTACTTTGTTCCATTCTTATCTCAGTTGAGAAGTGTTATGAATGTTTAAAAAATTGCAAGCACCTTAGCTTAATTTGGAAGTAAAAAAAGTTGAAGTCAATCGATTACATCACTACATTTTGAAAGTCTAATGGAAGATGAAGTTTAACTAAAACCATGCGATATATGTACTCAGTACCTTTCGAATAATTTGATCTTGTATTTACTCATCGATGTTTTTTGTCTGAAAATGAAATAGAATTATATCAATTAATTTTAATACTTAAAAATAAGAGGAAGAACAGGTAATGAGAAAGATCAACAATATTTAAATGAAATTACAGGACCAAAGTTTTTTAAACAGGTAAAGGGGGTTAGACATCCATCTCGTTGGTTTCTCAACAAGTTGAAGCATGCTTCACCGACTGTTCCTACTCAATTATTTCTGAACTCTTTGCTGATTATTTCTATGATTGTGGATAATGATGGTTGTTCATCACTTATGATTATTTGAATTTCAGAAAAGAAAGAGTCTATTCAAGTTAAATCGAACAACCTAATTTTGGAAATAGCTTTAAATCGGCCTTTAGCGAAACGTATTATACTAAAAACACTGACTTGGATAATATTACGAAATCTGTTCTTTGATACAACATATAAAGGATTACATTATCCTGTCATGTTTTCCAGTCAAACGTGTTTGTGTTTGTAAGTATATTGGATGAAATGATTGATATATTAGTTCACTAATACCGGGACGAATACCTGAATAATTTCAAAACTAGTGAAATGTCCAAACTTTTATAAATCACATTGGTAGACGATTTTTCTCTTCTGTAGTTGAATATATCTTAAAAATCATTCATAAAGTCTATGCGAAAACAGATTTCAACTCCGTACGTTAAAAACTATCATATATGCACGCAGACGTTTAGAGTTCCAGTTTTGAAAATATAGTCAGCTTTTTCTCATCTTTAATTTGCCTCGAAAATTTCCGTCTCCTTTTAATGGAAAAACTAGCAAGTTCGATAGTTTATCGAAATATTTAAAACAATGTAAACATATTGAAATTTCTTACGGATGATAATTTACCAATGAGAAGTAAAATAACGCTTAAGATAATCAATAACTTATATTTTTATGTTTGTAGAGTAATATTACGGACAAAATAATGGATATTTCTTCTCCAAACAAAAATTCTGTCGAAAAATATGCCAAATATAATCAAATTGAAGTAATTCGTGATCTCATGTCAAAACCAAATAATTGCAACGTTGAAGTCACCCCGGAAACCAAACTGCCTTTTGATGCGAGTCTTGAAAATAATGACTATTCAGAATGCAAATTACGTTTGTCATCAAGACCTGGAGTATCAGAGGTTCATTGGGGACTAACAATAAAAGCACGAGGTCCTTCAAATACTTCCCCTTTTGTTGTTGAACGCGTTAAAATTGGTAGGTTTCTATATATCACATGTTTTCGTGTATTACAGACATTTTCTCTTCCCATTCATTTTTACGTTTGAAATACATAAAAATGGCCTAAACCCTCAATATTTGGAACTTACTTTTAGTAAATAAGTGACATAGATTAACAGTGGACCACAGAATTCTCGTCCAACTATATTTGTAACTTCATCTCTTGGATTATGTCGCAGTAGTTAACTGCGACGCGCAAATGTTGAGCAAGAACTAGAAAAATATAGTACCTTCTATATCCTTTGACTGAGTTAGTCAATAATACGCAACGTGGAACCTGGCATATGTATACATCGGTTCAGGTTGTCATTCCTCACTGACGTAGCAATCTGAAATTGTCAAGATAAATTACAGAGTAGTTGTTCTAGTAACAGAAATTCAAACACACATAGGTTGACTTTCACATCATTCGTAATATGATCCATAGCTTAACCAAACTATAGTCTACAAATATAAAATGAATTGAGTGAGTGCGTTGATTAATCTACTTATCTACGAGACTGAATTAATGGACTTTCTTTATCTACACTTAGATCTTGAGTACAGATTTTTCGCAATATATCCCTGTGTATTAATTTTCTGCTTTAGTGCTGTTGAAAAAGCTTGGTAACTATGATGTGTTTGTTTGTTAGTTCAGACATTACTTTTGTCTTTTTGCTGACGTCTTGTATCATGATATCCAAATTACACTAGATAGCTTTCTCCGTAGTTTCCGATCAATTTTCTGTTCCCCAGTCTACCTGGTGACATATTTTGCTTGCAATGACCACACGACTTGACTTTTTCAGCCTGTTTTTTAGTCATCATTTAATATTTTCAAGTATATAAAGCTGTCAAAAGGAGTTTCTCAAACTTAAATTGTACAGTCGGGTTTTAAAGGTGGATTTAACCGAAGCAAACTAATTGGGACACATCACATGGATCTCTGTGACAATCTCGGTATGGAGTTAACTGCAAAACAACTTTAAATTACTGTTGTCGTATCATTAAAAGTCTATTGTCCGTTGTTTTTACTTCAGAAAGCGTTAAACTTTTCATGATATGGATGTTACATTTTTACCATTTACTAAGTTCTTTCTTTTCAGTAAAAATCTAATTGTCTCATAAGATTGATTTCAATGCACGTATTTAAATATTGAAATTTACCACCCTTACTTAACTGGGTGGTCATTTTTTTCATCTAAAATGTGTCAGGATTAGCACTAACTTCTAAATATTTCCAAGTTAACATTTTGGAATAAAATTTCACCAAATTCTGGACTTATTGTATAAGAATCTTATGAAAAACTAATTTACTGTAGGGTTCCTTCAGCGTTTCATCACGTATTCCCCCTCATCTTTGTGGTCATCAACACACAATATTCCAAACTTTGTGTACAACTATAATACTTCATTATGTTCCCGATTTTTACTATTTTACTGTGTGTATCAAGAGACTACGTTATGTTATCATGCGATAAAGAGAAATATCCGTATTTTATTAGTGTTAGGTGGGGTAGTGGAAATTGCAGAATTTTCCTAGATCAAATTATAAACCAATCTTATCTAAATGGCACTGAAGACTTGGAAGCACTGGACGGCGATGTCATTTTAGGCACTATTGACATCTGATACCGGTCCAGTAGTCTAGAGGTTAAGGGTCGGCGAGCAGGACGGCTTTTCAATGCTTCCAGGTTTTTATACGTGGTCTAGTTAAGGTTTGTTTGTTATTTGATCTATATCTTAGTTTTGAGGATGAGTTCTTCGAGAATTTCCATTAGAAATTAAATCTGAGAAACCAAATAACTAAAACCATACATTTTTTACATAATACTCAGTTAAGTGAGCTTATTGTAGCTCGTTGATAAATCAATCCATTCTATTTAACATTTCTTAAACATTCTCTATTCGTTTACATTTGTTTCATTAACATGCAACATCTAGGTAGTTCGGCAGATATCTGTGAATTTCAAAAAGGTGACATATTGGCTTCTATTGATGGCATAAACCTGGGTACTAGTCGGAAGAACACTGACAAAAACACCAGTCAAGTTACAAACTTAGAGGATCTAGAAAACTTGATGGCTCGGTTAGTTTTGGCCAACAAACCAATTACTGTTCAGGTCTTCAGAAAAATGGATGAATTTGGTAGGAGCTTGTGGTATTTTTCTTAAGATGCATAACATTGTGACTGATTTACTAATTTAAGCCACGTACTTTATGTGTCTGCTAGTGTTACTGCCTGGTAGCTCAAACCAAATAATGTGGAGTGAGGTTTGAACCTGCGAGCCACTGGTTAAAACCTGAATCTTTTACTGTCAAACATTATATACTGTTTTATTTTTACTTACTTCAATCCTTTCATTTTTATTTGGGTTTGTTATACAGTATAGTTAACCGTTTTGTGCATCCTCAACAACTCGATTCGCTTGTTTTGTTAGACAGGAAGTATGGGAAATATTTGTGATAATTGATTTGTTTTGCCAGAGAAATCATGATATGGATATTTTAAAACAATATGAAAGAAATCTCTCGTTGTTACAACAGCTGAACTAAACATGAAGATGTACTGCCAGTTATTATAACCCTCTACGTCCTAGAAATTCACTAGACACTTGGATTCGGAGTTTTAGAAATTTATCCATTATGTGAAGCTTTCTTCTGATCATTAATTATTTGCCTTTATATTAAAATCTTATTATGCTCTGCCTATACAGTTGTTTCCTTTTTTTTAATATTGTCACTTTGGTACTGTTTTTTATGTTTAACGTTATTCAGAAAATAACTTAATTGTTATTACATTACCTCACACTTGAAAGGTGTAAATTCTGGATCACCATCTCCCATACGCTTAGTAGAAAAATGTTTTTTTTATGTTAGAAGCAATCCAACTCCCTTCATTTTTCAATTCAAAAGTAATATATGGTGTCTGTGAATATCACTTGGTATTTCATCACTAAATATGTATCTTTCATGTTAATTAATTTTAAACATTATTGATAAGAAAGACACTTGTATAAATTAACATAAAATACACTGATTTTTGTGTAACCTTTCCGTTATTTATACGTGTAAAGTAGTGATTTAATTTATTCAGACATTGTCTACAGAATAATCTGTACTTTTAGGATGGAAGAAAAGTTTTTGTTATAACTGATAATGCGTCGCAATCAACATGAGATAATATAGAATGTTCCACTAATAGTTACTTACAAGAAATTAATAGAATAAAGCAAAATTCCTAATAAAATGCTATAAGAAGACATCACACAAGTCGGTAGTGAATTTTGTCTGTATTATTAGTAGAATAACCTATTGACTTCAACAAAAATCTAATTGACAATATTTGATATGACTAATAGTCGTTTTCGATTTTGTAATTGAGAGCACTAATATAACCACTTGATGTTTTTTTACATTAACATCAACTATTTAAACTTCAAAACAAAATCTGAAAGTATCCACAAACGTATTGACTGAAATCCAACTATATTACGTCAAAAGTTATTTCATTAAATTTTATCTTTGTTAATTAAAATACATACTTTGTTAAATTTATGTTTGAAAGACAAAAGTAATACATCTCTCTATTTATATTTCAAAACAGAATTAGGTATTTTATATTGAAGAATTCAATCAGTCGATGTTTTTTTAAGTCCATGAATTCCTATCTCAATTGATCTCCACTCTAAGTCGTTATAGATTTTGGAATACCCTATCAACGTTCTTTACTTAGATTTGTTTTTGTATTAGTAATTACCTATATTTGTACTATAATCATTAATTGAGATTCTGTTATATATTTTATCGGTTCATGATAAATTTAGTTTTAACCTACACTAGTTTACTTTGGTAAACTTGTCATCGTACTGCTTACAATGTTTTTTATAAGGATTGTAACTAAAACTAAAGTAGAAATTCGTCTCTATAGGAATTGTTATTGAAGTGCTATCGACATAGTCTTAACTCTTTTAGGTTTCAGGAAGAAAAGCTATTATGGGAAATTTATAAATCCACTAAGGAATAGATAAAAAAATTTAGCAAAGAAATTTTTTTCTGTGGATTCATTTTTAAAAAGCTATACAGCCGTATTTATACCAGATAATTAATGTGATGAACAAGTTTTGTGTGTTAATATTCATGTTTCTGATGAGTGAGGATCACTTGAAGCTAATTTTATTGATAATGGTTCTCTCCCAAAGTTTATTGAAATAAGCATGAAAAATACTAGGGGTCTTAAGCATGCAGAACGATAATATTCATATTGATCTGGATTTTAAGGATAATATTGCGGACAAGATCTTGATTAATTGTTTGATTAATCCATTATGGAAAACATTTTATCTAGTTCCTATGTGAGTTGTCGACACTATCAGCTTATTAGTGCACATATATGTAAAGGACTAGCTCTATCGTTTGATCGATTAGACATGAATTCCTTCATTCATCTTCACCGGCGGACCTAGGTGCACATGTCTTTTATCAAAGAGAACCTCCCAACGCATTGCTGGGCACCTGATGATATGACTCTGTAAAGGACAACATGAAAGTATGTGAAATCGTCTGTTCTCTAGCATGTAGTTGATGATGATCATGCAATTTCAGACTCAGCGTCCAAAATCATTTATAAAATCTAATCGGTTCTACCGAAACGCCTACACACATCTTCATATTACAGAAGCATTGGAAATGCTTAAGAAGAAGCTATATTTATGTATAGAAAACTATTTCCGAGATCTCTTTCTATGCTGTAGCCTGAGTTTGCTCTATATTTCTTCTTTACACACTACTGAATAAAATTTTTTGGTTGCTGTTTATTACCCTCGTTTTTTAAGTCACATGTTATATAATCTACTTTTTTACATCCGAATATATTACACCAATAATTTATTCATTCTATCTATTATCATATGATCACTCACCTTTAATCAATTCCTGTCCTCATTTATTTTGACCTCCATCAATCTACTTGAAAAATCATACCATATCTCTAATTTTGTAGTTGTGTCTTTTATGTCCTGTAGTTACTAGTCAGTATGATAATTCATTTATCAATAATTAATCGGTTTCACCCATTAATACGGACTAAACATCATGATTCTCACCCATTATACGCAGGCATATTAATGTAAAGTGCTTATTCATCACATAGATTACTTTTTATAAATACAATTATGCAGGTTTTGAAAATGAAATTGTTGAAAAGAAAATTTTCTTTGATGAAATATTTATTTTGTTGCAGGAAAGCTTTTTGAATAATAATAAAAGCGAACTATTTTTCTCATAAAATGTTTCGAATGAACTACACATTTCAGATGAACTGAACGATGGCGAATCGGATACAGGTGGAGATTTTTCTGTCGAATCAGCAGCTGTGAAATCCAAACACACACCAAGTAACATTAGTGATTCCGATAGTGAATGCCATGAGTTACTTGTTTCTCCTGTTGTCAAGGTTTCTCACAAAACATCTCCTGTTGATAGCCCAGTTTTACAAAGATCTATCACAATTACACATTCACGTCATAGGTCACCTTCCCGAAGCTCAATTCAAGTAAGTTATCCTTGGTTGATTAATACACTCGTTACTTGCTTACTTACTTACTTACGCCTGTTACTCCTAATGAAGCATAGGCAGCCGACCAGCATTCCCCAACCCACTCTGTCCTGGGTCTTCTTTTCTAATTCCATCCAATTCTTGTTCATTTCTCGCATGTCTATCTCCATTTCCCGGCGTAATGTGTTCTTTGGTCTTCCTCTTTTCCTTTGGCCTTTAGGATTCCATGTGAGGGCTTGTCTTATGACACAGTTGAGTGCTTTCCTCAATGTGTGTCCTATCCACTTCCAGCGCTTCTTCTTCCGCTGGGATCTGGCTTGTTCTTTCCCACAGTTGGTTGTTGCTAATAGTGTCCGGCCAACGGATCCGAAGTATTTTGCGTAGACAACTGTTAATAAACACTTGTATCTTCTGGATGATGGCTTTCGTAGTTCTCCAGGTTTCCACTCCATACAGTAGAACTGTCTTGACATTTGTATTGAAAATCCTGACCTTGGTGTTGGTTGACAGTTGCTTTGAGTTCCAGATGTTCTTCAGTTGTAAATATGCTACTCTTGCTTTACCGATCCGCGCCTTCACATCCGCATCAGATCCACCATGTTCATCAATGATGCTACCCAAATAATACACTTGTTATCTTCCTGCAAATAGTCGATATATACTACCAATAATGTTTCATAACAATGAACCTTTTTCACTAACAGGTCTGTTTCCTACTTATTTATAATCATACTGAAAAAAAGCTTAAATACTAGAGGATCAAGAAATGCACCATAAAAATAAGGTGGCAGTGCTATGAAAAATCTGAAAGAAAGCTTTTCAATCAACTGTTAAAAAAAGATAAATGGCCACTAAACACTATTAGTCTGTCTTTTCGTATTAACTTTCAAGTGTCCAATCATTCTCACTCCAATTGCTATTACATTATTTCTTGAAATTCATCTTTTCAGTTTCGTCAACCTAATACGATCTCGCAAATTCGAACAATGCTAACCCTTACTATGCTCTATTTCAATAAGTGACTGACTATTTACTCTAATAAATTATTAAATCATTCTATCTTTTAAAAATTATGGTTTACATTGCGTATCGTTCTCAATGTATTGTACTTCTTTTCTATTTTCTTGACATGAGTTTAGCACCAGCAACTGTTACTATGATCAATTTATGTTATGCGTGGTCTACCCGCTGAATTATATCACGCGTCCAATCACTAATCATAATCATAATTCTAATTTGGCCTTTTATTTACTCTATGGTTTGATGTCTCTGAATTAACCAATTACACGCCCCATCAGTACCATTAACATTCAACCGGCAGTTAAGTTTGTATTGGTCCGTCATGCACAAGGTCCTCCCTATACTCAAGCCTTGAATCCATAAATCAACACCCAGCCTCTACCATATCTGTATTTCAAACAAACGTGGTTTATATACAGACATACATAATGGAACCACACCATAATATAAAAAATAACAATTATACATGAACAGGCTAAAAGTGGTTGTGAGTAGAGAAGACTGTAAATAATAGACTGGCAACAAAATAGGAATAGTCAGTCGTATGACATTAGTTTATGGGTTAACCGAAAGGTAATGATAAACGGAGTACATAGATATAGTAGTCTAGTTTCTTAATAATCATATAGTAAGAATATATATATAATGATAATAATCCAGAAATTAATTCTGGGAGCTACCATTCCTTCAATCTTCGTTCTGACATAGCAATTTTATGAGCAAGTTGATACCCTATATTAAAACATTCTGTCAGGTTTACTATCACTGATACTTTCCGTGAAAATACTGTTTTTAATCACTTCATTTTTATCTTTTTCTTGTCATTTTATCAATTCTTTAAAGATTTCTGATGACGAAGTTAACAATTCATCTGTGTCATCTAACTCCGAAGTAAAAGAGTACGTTACATTCAAAATGAAAAATTATAATATTTATTTTATATAAAGATTCAACATGTATTTTACGTATGCTTACTGTCAATTTTAGTTTATTACTGCTTAGATATAAACTAGAATCTAAGTAGCTCATATTTTAGGTAAGCTGAATAGTTTTTGCTCTCTTTTCTAACATGCTCCCTCCCTGAAAAAATGATACTATTAAATCTTGTCACTATAGGTTTGTGAATGATTGGTCGAATCACTTGATTATCATTCGTTCTATCACGAGTTCAAAGGTACTCTATTTATTTAGGTCTTACAGTCAGGTGGTATTGCTCTTGCTCACACGATAATAAGGTCACCGTACATATGTGCAGGTAAAAAATTTTGAATTACGCTAATTTACAGATTCAGAAAAATTCATTATTTTATCTCTTACTCTGTTGCTATTTCAGCTCAGTTTTGTGATAATCCATCAAAAGCGTACTTTAGCATTACATTTCGATATATTGTTAAAAACTGGATTTTTATAGTTACTATAAATAATTTTCATCAAACCCTATTATAGAACGAACTTCGTCATTTAATTTTCATATGTGTATCGATTCGTTCAATTATGGAGTCAGTAAACGAAAAACCGCAAACGTCTACATGTAATAACTATCAATGTCCTTTATTTCTGGATGCTATTTATGGTTTTTGACTTGTGAATCAAAAGACCAGTCAGTCATTAGTAACGTAAAAGCTCTACTCAAATATGCATTCTCACACGTTGTCACATTACACCAACACAGTGAGATAAAATTATCACGTCGGAATATAGCAAAATCTCAGGATGTAAATGTATCTGCGTCACCGTTACTGATGTGATGCTGAAATCTCGGATAAAATCCCAAATAGTACAAAAATTTTTCTCTCATCTACTTATTACATAGGAGTTCTTGTCGTCACAATACTTTTATGTTAGAAGTTACAAATATAACAATTTTTATTTGTGCCAGATAATTGACATTATCCTACCTCATTGATACTTTTTGCACTCCATTTTTAGCTGCACACAGTTCAGTAATATTATATGCTTAACTTACTCATTGGTTAGAAATATTTATTTTTGCACCAAAAGCGTTTCTGTCCATTATTTAATTTAATAAATATACAATATGTTTTTTTAATTGGTCTAATTAGTTGATCAGACAACAACTATTTCTACTACCCAGCTAGAATCCACTGGTATTTAAAAGTGTAAATATAACTATTTTTGGAACACATCCTATATTTTTAACTTACCTTTTGAGTTATTGCCCTGGTACAGCTAACGAAGAAAAGAGTCTGCTCTCCCGTTCAGAATGCTACCATGCGACCTTTCGCCTATAACATCTACCAGAGAAGTCCTACTAATTGCCTTCAGACGGTGAGAGTATTGTTTAAAAAAGTGAGGAAGCGAAAAGCGAACATCAGGCTCTTAAATCGTTTTGGTGAATATTAAGGGTTCATGTATGGGAGTTGAAAAGCCTTGATTTCAGACAAATTGTGAATACGTGTTTTAGAAACCTGAGGGAACAAATGGCTTATAAACCTATTTTTGCCACCGGCTCTCGTGAGGCGGTATCTCTTGACGATACTCCATCTTTTTTTAAATTAGACCTCTAGGTTAAAGACTTTAAGAATAGCTTTCGAAGGAGATCACCTACTTCTGTCTAGGCACCCAGACAGTATCACGGCCCACTACGACCTCGTGTACGCTAATCTAACCCAGGACCTTCGGTCTTGCGCTCCAACTCTTAACCTTTAAACCACTGAGCCGGCCTTCAACCGTGTTAATTCCTAACTTCAATAATCTTCACAACCCTATACTAATAAATAATAGTTAACAAAATAGTTGCTATATTTTTAAACTATACCTTTGTATTTAATTATTTTTCCAGTCATTTTATCCTAATAATGATTATTTAAAACTTCAACATTGTTAAAGTAGTAATTGTGTACGCTATAATTTTCCCCATATAATAGATACAATTGTCTAAAAGGGAACTTTAATATTTCGTCCAAATCAATTGGTTTAATTTCTAAGAATGAGATTTCTCCATTATTTAAATCACATCAAGATAAGTCTAAAGATGAAAGTAAGTAAATTATTTGTACCATGGTTTTATTTCATTCATATTGGTATCATTATTTATCTGACTAATTGACTTTCCAATGACTGTTATGCACTGATGAATATATTGTTGACAAACCAAATAATCATTGGTTAATTACATCCTCTGTTCATGTGGCCATTTTTATTAACAAGTCAATGCTAAAATGAAGATTTTTACTATTTATATAAGTATAGTGCATACATAATAGCATAGTACTTCAACTCGTTTTTTTTATATTTCAACAGGGTTTCTTAAAGTAACCAAAAATAATTTTTGAATTCTGTCTGCGTTTTTTAGAATTATTTATATAGCCTTATAACATTTTCATCAGCCTGATAATTCACGCCCACAAGAAATGCGGCACCTCTGACGTTATATCCGTCTTCAATAACTTTTTTTACGAGGCATTGTCTCTTCTCATTTGAAATTAATTTGTTTTTTTTTCTATTCATCTCTGGTATGTAAGGATTATGAAAAAAGATTTTTAAAAACACAGCGGTTATTTCAAAAAACGTAGAAAAAAACTTTTTAAACTTTTTTGGTTATTTAAAAAAAACCCTGTTCAAATTAAAAAAAACGATTTGAAATACTATATAAATCTGTGTAAGTGATAGGTTTTCAAGATTATCTGTTGACAATTCCAGATATTTTTTGCTCCCTCCTTACTGATTTTTCGTATGTAAGGACATAAATATTATTTATTAACCAATCTGTCAGCTTACATAGAGATGCTACTCATAAACCTCTTCACATAGTTGTATGAAAACACATATATTGAAATCAACACAAGACTCCGATAGATTGTAAACTACATAATTTTTTCCTAGTAACTGATTGCCACCATCTTCCTCAATTCGTCATATAACCGCTATTAAGAACTAAGCTAACTTTAAGAATAAATCTTCCAGTTTAAGTACACAACTTGTTATTATCACTTATATATTCTTTGTTATCTCTACATAGCAAAAAGTTACCTTCCTATTCTTTCGATTTACATAAATAAATGCAACATAGCATTTACAAAACATAAATGATCGCATTAGTATTTCTGTCTAAACTATGTACCAATTGATCAATTCTCAATATAAGACAATACCTGCATAATGCTTTTATTTGAAAGTGTGAATAATAAATACTCTACTGTTATGCAACAGCAGCCTATATGACCTTAATATTTCAACATTTGAAATGTCTGTAATTCTTACCACCAATTTTGTTTTATCTTACTTTCGATGTACAGTTATTGATCTTTTTCTCACTTTCTCCTCTCTTCTAACAATGTATACCGTCTGAGATTTCGCGTAGCTTTTCTGGCTGACTATTCAGTATAATTTTTGGGTTCATTTAAGGTCAGTCTGATCAAAATACATTACCTCATCTCTTACCACTTACATTTAATGTTTTCTCAAGATTTTTTTCATAAAGTCGTTCACAGATAATCAAACATATTCATAAAATAAGATAGTATTTTGTGAACATGTATATACTTGTTATCACTATATGAGAAAAAGTAAATCACATTTCGTCCAAGATTAGGTTTCATATATATATATATATATATATATATATATATAAGTAGATTCACTTATACAAGTGATTAACAAAGTTTACTTCTCATCGGCATCAGTTTATGTACTGTGTTATTAGTTTTACGATACCTCTGCTGATTTTCTTAAGTTGCTTCAAATGTTCTGATCGAAAAAAATTCTATGAACCTGAAGTTTCCATAAATCTCATCTTACATTGATTATCTATTAATTATTGGTTTTGATATTTCAGTTTTATTTGATGTGTGTGGTACTCAAATGCTTGATAATGACTTCCTAGTCGCTCCATAGTTCCGCACAATTCTCTTAAACTTGGTCCTCCAAAGTTACAAATAAAACACTAAATAAGAACAGAAGCTTTACTTCAATGTTATTTACTGATGTATGAATAGCCTCCACATTCGGAAGACTTCTGGAAGCACGCTAAGTTTAGTGACAAAGTTGGTATGAATTCTGGTTAGACTATAGGACATAATCATTCCTTTTTATAGAGGTTTCTGGGAAGTTCTAATTAGATGCTTAAACTCAATTGTTTTCAGCATTTCCCGTGTTTTCTGAAGACATTTTCGGGGAATTCTTGAAGATTCCAAACAGATCTCTGGATTTTACTCGTAATCACTACTAATTAAAATTTTTAAGGACATTGATGCACCATCTCAGTGTAATTACAGATTATATATATATATATATATATATATATATATATATATATATATATTGTTGAGTTACGTCCTCTGGATATGGCAGTTCAACTAGGAACCTTTAATTGTCATTTTGGACATGTTTCGCATTTACCGTACATGGAGCTGTTATAATTATTCCGCAAGCTCTAAGTCACCTTGTCCTATTCCCTAATCTTGTCTTCGGAGGTTCTATCAACATGATTTGTCTTTTTATTTCTATCGACTATTGTTCGTTTAACCTCTGACCATAACATCTACCTGGGCTAGAAATGTCCATCATTACATTCTATCTCTACCAATATGTATTTTGGAAATGTCAGTAACACTTTAAAGCCACTTTTGTATCGATTATCATCATAAAATACCTACTAAAGATTTCAAGGTTTCGTATCTCCTTATGAATTTCTAATATTTTCACAAAATATCATCCTTTAATTAAACTAGTGCCATAAAAATAATATATTATTTGTCAAGTAAAATTTTTACACCAAACGAAAATCAGTCTGTGCAAACTCGAGTAATTCGCAGCTCTATTATTGTTTTAGAAAATATATGCACTAAGCCACAAATTTAGAAAGTGAGATTTTTACTAAAATCTATTCATGAAAAACGAAAAATTGAACGGTTTGATCGGACTTCGTAAATAAAACAAAGATCATTTGCATATTATATATATATGTATATATAATATTTGCATTTATTATCCTGTTACAATATACAACCTAATTTTTTGTGTTTTGCTATTTATCTATTTTCTTTCTTGTCAAAAAAACAAAACTTCGTTGTCCAACTTACGTTGTAATGATGGATGTACATGTATGTATGTGTATATAAACATATATGTAGTTTAGTTATATTTTAAATCTGTGTGTACATATATATAAGTGTTGATAGATGTGGTAAACGTAATAGATCTGTAGTTCTATTGCTCCATATGCAAAATATAAAGACGTAATTGTTATTGCTTTGTTTCTTCCGGTAGTTTTTGTGATTTTATCCTGTTTTATTTACTCGCTATGTTAGTGTTTGATATCCAAAGTCTTTTACTAAGTTTACATAGCACTTTCATTATTTTCTTTGCAAAAATATTTAAAAAAAAACATTGATTGATATATTACTGCATTTTCAATGATTGTTATCTTTTGATGTGTTTTTCTCGTTGTGTCTTGTTTTGTGTTTGCTGACTTTTTGTCATTCATGCACAATTATACGTACTTTTACTGTAGTGAAGTACTCCATGTTTGTTTTTCTATTTAGTCAATTTCTTCATAAATTCGTATTTTTCTCTTACAGTTGAATGGGTGTCCTCTGTTAGTAGTAACTAGATACTATTGTTACTTCAATTACTTTTATTGGTGCTTTCACATCAATTATATTCAATTTTAACTATTGTTATTATGATGTAATTTCGTTTACTTATGTATGTATATCTTTTAGTTTCCCATCTTTAGGATTTTATCATTGTTAACATTATTCCTTTTTAGTGTATAAATACAGTAATGTCGTATCAGTTGTTTTTTTATCATTATTTGGATCTTTTCCTATCGCTCTCATAGCTCTGGAGCATCGAAACCAGTACAAATCCGTTATTAGTCACTAAATGTATACAGTTTTACAACTACATGTATTCCGCTCAAGAGATGGATTAGAGTGTAACTTATAAATACATTTAATGACACATACTAATAATCTTTTTAAGTTTGGCCTAATGGGGGAGAGGGTTTCAAATTTCTCCGTTTCTCAAACGAATTTTCACAAATGGTTTATGCAATGTGTACACATCAGTTTTGTCTCCTACTCTAAAACTAATCTTGTTAGTCATTTACTCAAGCCTAATCTTAGTCACGTTTGGAAGCATCTCTTTCCTTGATGTAGTCTGCTTAGAGCATTCAAACTCGAATAATGCTCTCAATTTATATTGGTTACAAAAGCACACCATTTACCACAATATATATTTTTTATCTATGTACAGTTTTATAATACACGGCCTTTTCATGTTGATACTAGAACACTACAACTTTTATGTTATGTGATCATTTTTCTCAAAACATAACTAACATGTCCGATTTCTCCTTTTCTGAATTTCATGAGTAGGTGCTTAAATAATCCTCTGTAAATACAGAAGAAACATTGTTTTTTTGCATTGAAAAATTTTCATGCTGCTAATTCTTATTTTTCCAATAAACAATTCTCTGTTATTTCATACGTAGAGTTGTTTTTCGTTCAACAGTTGTACTCTAGTTACATTCACAAAAAATACTTAGTCTTTCAACTGATTACTATTAAAAATCAATTAATTGTTGTATTTAGCCATAAGTCCACTTACCTGCAAATCATCGAAGTGAAATAAAAAAATGTTTTTCTTTGTAAAACTCATGAAATGTAGCTAACAGTGGAATCTAGGACAGGCATTTTGTCCTATGTGGGAACTGTCATTAGGATCTACCTTCATCTCACAGTTGATATTCACTCTGAGATAAAAATGAAACTTACCTTTTGGATTCCACTTCTAATCAAATTCCATAAGAATGGTGATATAAAGACTATATCGAGGCAATCTGCACGGAATACAAATAAGGCCATCTAAGACTGATCAAAATTCAGTCAAAATATCAGCGCTAAAGTAATACATTTAAGATAATAAAATATGTTGCAAAATACTGAGTTTCACTTTCATATACTACAAATGAGTAATTATTTATTTTATTCATTTCATTTTAATGCAGTTCACTAATAGTATTAATATTTATTG